ATTTAAACTCCCACTCCTCAAACCAAACTTTAAAAAAAAACAAAAACAATAAAGTGATCCTCATCATGACAAAAAAAAAAAAAAAAGAAGCCACAAGATTAGAAGAAATATCTGTAAAAGACAACATGTACAGGACTATTACATAAAACATACACAGACGTCTTCAAACTCAACAGTGACAAATAAACAAACCTAACTAAAAAGGACCAAACACCTTAACAGAAAGCACACTAAAAAAGATATGTAGATAAAAAAAAAATCAGTATCTAAAAAGATGCTCCACACCTTATGTCACTAAAGAAATTCACATTAAAACAATGAAAATTAAACTAATGGCACTTTAAAGCAACACTAAACCCTGACTGGAAAGGTCAGAATCCAGAACACTGACAACAAATGCTGCTATGGATGTGAAGCAACGGGAGCTTTTATTCATTGGTGGTGAACATGTAAAATGGTGTAGCCCCTTGGGAAGACAGTTTGGAGGTTCTCACAAAACTAAACATACACTTATTATATGATCCAGTAATTGTGCTCCTTGGTAACTACCCATAGAGCTAAACCCTTTTATCTTCACAACAGTGTACAAGGGAATATTTATAGAAGTTTCATAATTTTCAAAACCTGGAAGCAATGAAGATATCTGTCAAGAGATGAATAAATAAACTAAAATACATACAATGAAATATTATTCAGCATTATAAAGAAATAATGTATCATGCCATGAAAAGATATGGAAGACACCTAGATACACAGAATAAGTGAAAGAATTCACTGAGCCTGATTGGGTGCTCAGTTAGTTAGTGTCATCCTGATATGCCAAGGTTGCAGGTTCTATCCCCAATCAGGGCACATACAAGGTTAAACTAATGAATGCATTAATAAGTGGAACAAAAAATTGAAGTTTTTCTCTTTCCCTTCCTCTCTAAAAACAATAAAATCAATAAATAACATTAAAAATACAATAAAGCAATTTGAAAAGTCTATAAACTAAAGGGTAACAACAATTTATATATGACATTCTAGAAAAAAACAAAATGAGAAGAATAGCAAAAAGATCAATGCTTGCAAGAGTTCAGGCAACAGAGGGATATAAAAGGCACAGAGAATACTTAGGCCTGAGAAACTGGTCTGTTTGACACTATAATGGTGAATATATGTCATCATAAATTTTCCAAACCCATAGAATATACAACCCAGCAGTGAACACCAGGGTGAACTAAAACACTGGGTGATGATGTGTCAATGAAGGTTCATACACATCATAAATGTACCCCTCTGGTGGGGGCACTGAGAAGGAAGGGTGTATGGTTATGCCTGTAGAAGCAGGGAGAGTGTGGGAATTCTCATTTACTTGTACACAATTTTGCTGTGAGCCTAAACCTGCTCTTTGAAAAAGTCATTCACAGGCCTTCTCTGAACTATCTGTACTCAGATCTATGCATCTTTCCTATGGTACTTTATGCCCATTGAAGAAACAAAACTTTGCACCCTCCATTAAAAACACACACACACACATGCACACACACAATGTATCACTTCACAAGAATTAGGATGACCAGTATGAAAGAAATAAACAATATCATGTGTTTTTAAAAATGTGAAGAAACAAAACTCTATACACGAATGAAAGATAAATTGGTGCAAACAGTATAAATAACAAGGGGAGGGGTGATAAAAAGTTAAAAATGAAATTGTTTTATAATTTTGCCATTCTACTTCTGGGTATGTATCAAAGAGAATTCAAAGGAGGATCTGCAAGGGACATGTGCACACTGTGTCAATTGTAGCATTACTTACAAAAGCCTGTAATAATGCCCCTGGCTCTTGTGGCTCAGTGGATTGAGTGCCAGTCTGTGAACCAAAGTTCTATTCCCAGTCAGGGCACATGCCTGGGTTGTGGGCCAGGCCCCCAGTAGGGGGCACTTGCGATGCCACCACACACTGATGTTTCTTTCCCTCTCTCTTCCCATCTCTCTAAAAATAAATAAATAAAATATTTTTTTTAAAAAAGCCTGTAATAGATGGAAGCAAATCCAACCTCAATGGATAAATTGATGTAAAAGAATAGTATGACATTTTAATGGAATACTACTCTGCCAAGAAATAGAAAAAATCTTATCACTTGATACCACAAAGGTGAACACTGAGGACATTTTTTTAAGTGAAGCACATGAGCCACAAAGCGATAGGCACCCTAGAATTCCACGTAGGTGAACAATCTAATGGAGTGCACCTCATAGAAAAGAAAAGGTTAGTTACCTGATCCTTGATTTGATTTAAGGCAAATGAGGAAGCAGTTGTTTAATGGACATAGAGACATTTCTGCAAGATAGGAATTTCCAGGGACCAGATCCACAAAAAGATAATATACTTAATACAACGGGACTATAAAATGATAGCTTTTTACACACAGAGTATTTTCTCAAAATTTAAAATAAAAATATCTAAGAGATAGTTATAAAACTGTTCAAAAATTACATTCAATTTAGAAAAGTTTTTGTCTTACATAAACAGAACATAAGGTCATCCGTGAACAGTTATAAAATTAAAACTATTTCCATAAGTATACCAGACAAAACAACCATTGTCCATTAAACAAGCACAGAGAGAAAAAAGTCATGAACAAAGTAAGGTAAAAACCAGACAAACATGCACATAATTTTAATGGAAATTGACATTTACAGCTGAATCAAAATTGAATTAAGTCCCAAAATATCTTAAATGTGCTGACTTGAAAACTAACATTCACTCTCCTAACATGTACATATTTACTAACATAAACACAATCAACTAAAAAATGCAATCAACTAAATTTGGGGAACCTATCATAAAAAAAGGTTACATGCTGGAAAACTAGTGGAAACTGTAGCTGAGTAAGACCGAGGGGTGTTGGAGTTCAACTCTTAATGGGCCAGCACACACACTTACTGGGAATCACTTGCTCTGACCTCCAACATGGGACAGAACTTTTAAAGGCGCCAGGGACAGCCAAGAAAGAAACTAAACTGTGTGTCTTCAGGGCGAGCCTGGGGGAGCAGAACTGGACAGAAGTACTGGTGGAGGCCATGATTCCCATACTGCGCCCTCCACACCATAGAGCTGGCAGGCAGGTACCCATATCTGAGACTCCATCACCCTGGCTAACACTGCAGCTCTCTATCCTAGTGATTCCAAGACGTCATCCCAGTCAACTTGACAGCCCACTCAAGCGACGTCCAGTGGCTTTTCCATGCAAATGGCCTCTTTTGCCCCGTGGTTCAGACTCTGCTAAATCTTAGAAACAAACTGCGTTTGGCCCCTGCATGCCCCTAACATCTCACTCAATGGCTGCATGCCCCACACTAGCCATAGCTGGCCTTGAATCACTTCTTGGCTTCTCCAGTGCACTTCAAAAAGCAGTGCAAGGAGGGGTCATCTTTCTATCACTCTGTGACTGGTGCCAGGTGGCCCTTGGCAGGTCACAGGTGGTGGCTGACCTTTTACCTCCATGGAAGACCCAGAGGCAGTGCATACAGTAGGCAGCTTAAAACCATGTTGGACTACGACACAACCACATCTACAACAACACACTTCAAAGGGCAGACTCAGTGAGCACCAAAGCTCCACTGAACATTTTTTTAAATATGAAGGGCCTAATAATTCTGTAACTCATTTTTTACCAAAGGAGTACATGCAAGCATTTTGTATGAGCACTTCTGAATCTGAAAGCAGAAATGTGACAAAGATCTAATCAGAAAGTGGAAAACACATAGGACACAGGTTTGAGCAACTTAGAATTAAACACTAGAATGACAGAATTGTAGATATAAAGTAATCAGATCACTGTAGAACCTTTCCTACATGGTGGGCAATGTTTTAAGATCACTTATGACAGTAACTCCTTGAAGAAGTCTATGAGGTAAATAGATATATTAAACATCTCTATCATGGAAGAATTAAAAAAAGTTCTAACTATAAATTTCTTATTTTAGTTTATATGAAGCAAAAAGAAATTTTGAAATGAAACCAAAAATTAGATTGTGACATTTTGCAAAGGTGCATTGTGCTGTAAAGAAATCAGAGTCTAAACTTTCCCGGGTCTTGTGTGAAGTCGTCATAGAATCAGAAATTATGTTTCAGAAAACATGACACCTATCCCCATGGTTTGTGGAATTTCTGCAACAACTTACAGGATCTCAACCACTTTCTTCACAAACTCTTTCATGAGACTAAAACAAAACTTTAAATTTTTTTTAATGTACAATTGCTCAGCAACGTGCACAGATTTTCCCAGGTCTCCAAAGCAATGGAAGAGGAGCCAGACCACAGCGGCCCTCACAGTTGAAAGGGAGGACTTTGGCCCCAACTGGTATAGAATGACAGAACTCATTGGAGTAGAAACAGAGTCCCAAGATGATAGAGGAGCTAGGGACATTTTGGAGATGAGGTGTCCCTCTATGACAACAACAAAAATAAACCAGGGCTTTTCAGAATCTTTCCACTGAAGCACAGCTTCCCAAACCACACTTTAAATTCTGGCTTCCTCCATGACTTTTGAGATTCTCACCTATATCATCTGCTTTTTTCATCGTCTTTTTTCTGTGTACATCTGAGCCCTCGTTTGCTCCAAAACAGTGACAAGGACTGGCTTAGAGACCGTAGGACCCATTTATAAGAAAAACAAACTTGAGTTTTGACAAAGATTCTTCCATTTCCAATTGACTTCGTGCTCAGATAAGAAGACTGATAGAATATTATTCTAGAAAATGGTTTTCCAAAACAGTTTTCTGATAGCATGTTCATTATTCTAGATGACATGTAAAATTTCCAGACATGGGTATCCTAATTCACATAGTTCATGAAGCCTTTTCTTTCTACATCAGATAACCTCCTATTTCTCCCTTGAGAGCAAAAATCTCAAAGTCTACTATATAAAGCAGAAGTTCTGAAAAGATGTTAAACTCACAGATAACAAAACCCTGCAAGTAGAGCAGGAAGTGAAAAACATTCATCCTCACCCAGAAAGACCAGGTTCCTGTAGTTCTCCAACATCACATCCACGTACAATTTCCGCTGAGCTGGGTCCAGGCACTCCCACTCCTCCTGAGAGAAATCTATTGTCACATCCCTGAATGTCAATGATATCTGGGGAAAAAAAAAAAGGAATAAAAGGACTTATTTACCAAGAGGCCACCAGCAGAGGTCTTAATGTCATCCACACGAAGAGTGTTAGGAAAAGAGGTTTTGACCTAGGAGAGTATCCTGAATTATCTAGTAAAATCATTTTGACCTGGTAATATTCTCTCATGGATTTTCTATTTTTTTTTAAGACTTTTTTTTTTTAGAGGGGGGAAAGAAGGGAAACATCAATGAGTGGTTGCACTTTGTGCGCCCCCTGCTGGGGACCTGACCCACAACCCAGCATGTGCCTTATACTGGGAATCGAACTGGCGACTCTGGTTGGCAGGCCGGCACTCAACCACTGAGCCATACCAGTTGGGGCTCTTGGGTGTTTTATAACAGTGAGAAATGAAGGTGGCATATGTCTACAAATCCACTGCAGACACTTTACTTTCCAGAGAATAAACTTTAAAATGAAGGTATCGATACAGGCAAACAGATAGTTGAGTGTTGTATTTGTATCACTCACGATCAGTTCTGTATATTTCTTACCTGGGAAAGGCATGGTAGGTTGGAAGTGTACTTTTTATATTTTTTAATTTTTTAAATTTTAATGCACACAACAAAGAACTGCAGTTCTGTAAAAATACAGACTCTGATTCAGGAGTTCTGGGATGGGGCCTGTGTTTCTACGTCTTTAACAAGCTTACTTTGTCTCTGGTCCATGTGCTATACTTCTAAATAGCACAGAAAAGAAAACACAGAAAATAATTCATACATGACTTTGAGCTGAAGGAGTTTTTTTTATATAATTTACTGTTCTCAAGAAATAAGAGCAGCCAAAATATTATTTGAAAATTTAGTATCAGTAACCTTAGACCAAGATTATTCTTTCTATGGTATGAGAGTATTTTGTGAAAAATACAGTAAAGGGTAAAGGAAAACTAAATTTTCCTCCAAACTTGATGTACAATTTTTCAACAAATACAGGCAAATACACATAAAGAGATCTCATGAATATTCATCAAAGTTCCTGTAACTGAGAAGAACAAAAACAACTTGAGAGTGAGAAGCCTAAATAACTGAAATGTTAACATTTTATACACACAGATTGACGTACATATGGAAACTAGGTACAATTGAAAAGTGACAGAAAATAGAATTTTCATGCCAATGAAATTAAATATTATTTTGTGAGTCTGTAAATCTCATAAATCTAATTGTGGATGATAATCTTTATCTTTTGTAAACATAAGAAGGGGAGGAACATACACAAAGTTAGAGCTATTGTTTTTTAGTTTTTTATTTCTCAAAATTTCATGTATCACTAGTGGAGAATTGTATCTTAAAAATTTAACTGAACTGAACATACATTAATATAATTCTTGTAAACTTTCTTGAAAATACAAAAATAAGTAGGATATGTCTGTGACATGAGTGTGGAATATAATGAAAATTTACAGGAACAAAGCCTGATTAATTAAATCTTCCATGCCAAAACCCAATTATCTCTAGGAAATAAAGGTAGGGCCTTCATCTTCTAGAGCAAACAGGAACTAAGAAGAATATAGGGCGTTCCAGGAGAAATATGATGGTTTTTGCACATCTCTCAGTAATTCCCTACTTAGACCCTTGTTAATGATAAAGGGAAACTATTATTGTACATGGAAGAGAGCACCTTAGCCAAGTGAATATCAGGTGGACTGGAACAACAGATATCAGGTGACTGAGGAATACAGAAGGACACGTCATCACTGCTGTGACGTTACTGGCAAAAATATAGAAATAAAGAAATCATTATATGAAAATGATCATAAATAAACTCTTAGTTTTTGCAAATGTAAATGCAGATGTAACTCCTATGTGTTGACACAAATACTGTAGTGCATTTATATAGCAAGACTTTTGTCTCAAACTAGTAAGCAAGTCTCTTCTTTGCCAGAACTTTCTAAGCTATCCTCACCACCAAATGGTGCATTTTCTTACCCCTGATCTACAGAGCTGATGCTGCAGCAACATAAACCTAAAAACCTAGATGTTCTCTCCTTACCGATACCCAATCTTCTAGCCCATCCCAAGAGGGGTATTGAACATGGGTACCTTCCCACGTTGATCTGTTACAGAGGGGATGTTTTCAGTAGTTAAATGTCATTAATTCAGGACAGGAATTCTACAGATTCTTGGGGAAACTGGATAATGAAAATGTAGAGAAGGTTCTGGGCAAAGGAAAGAAGTATATAAACTCCTGACCTTGACAATCATAAGAAACAAAGGGAAAAAAATAAGTAGATTTAAAGAAACCTCACTAGCCAAAAACATCAGAAACAGAGAAGGTGCTGGTTCTTAATCCATTGATGTTAGGAGGAAAAGCAAACACAGCCTCTTACCCAGGATACATCATTTACCTTAGAAGGAGCCATGTCCTCCTGGTCCTCCTCCGGGTTCTTTTCTCAGGTGATGATATGCTGAGGAGTCACTTCTGCATTTTGACGATGTGCCTTCAAAGGCACAGCCGCTTTTTCTGCTTCCACCACACTCGCAGGGAAAAGAAACCTGGAAATGTTCAAAAAGTCACTTTCTCCTGTCCTTTGTCAAAGGAGAGTCAGGAATAAAGCGCTTCTACATGGAGACCACACTGAGTTTTTTCTTTCTTCTTTTCAGGTGCTCTCTTCTCCCACACATGGACACAAACTCCTACAGCAACGAGAACATGCATTGCTCTCCTGAACCCCAAACCCAGCAGAGCTCCCCATTACCTTTCCTGACCAAAGCCTGCTTCTCACTCTTACAAATGCATCAGGACATGCCTTTTCCTTCCCCTTCTCCTTCCTTCCCCCTCTTCAGATAACCTTTGCCCTTTTTTTCTCTTAAGCTCCAGGGGTCCATCTTATGACTCTTTCTGGTTCCCTGAGCCCAATTCTTCTACTTCTGACTTTCTAAATAAAATTTTTCTTATTAAACAACATGCATGCCTTGACCAGGTGGCTCAGTTGGTTGCAGAATTGTTCAATATAACAAATGGTTGTGGGTTTGTTTCCTGGTCAGGGTACTTACCCAAGTTGTGGATTGGATCCCCAGTCAGGGCCCATGCAGGAAGGAGCACATAGATCTTTCTCTTTCACATTAATGTTTGTCTCTTCTCTCTTTTCCTCTCTCTCTAAAATCAATAAGCATATCCTCTGGGTGCGGATTAAAAGAAATGCATCCCAAAGCATTTCCTGATAATCCCTGGGCTCACCTTTGCGTCACCTGGAGGACCTCATTAAACAATGATGCTCCACCCAGAGCAGTTGTCCAACTCTGTGGATGATGGCACAGCTGATGTCATTTCTTAAAACTTTTCAGGTGATTTAATAGGAATCTAGAGGGAAACATGCTTTAATAAGCATGCAGACCCCTAGGGAATTAGGGCTCCACTAAGTTATAATTCTGCAGGTCTGTAGCACGGCTCATGAAATGGCATCTTTATCTAGTTCTTCTTGGTGCCTCCACTGTTCCCCCAGAGCTCTTTTCTGTAGCACTGAGCCAGACACACCACACCCAACACACCTAAGACCTCTCTGTGCAGTGAGGACTTCAGGCAGAAACTTCTAAAATGACAGGCTCCGTGGTCTAAATTTTTTTCTTTTCCAGAAAATTACAAAGAATTATTTTGAGGAAAATCAAGATGTCATAGAAGTGAATGGAAGTCACACTGACCTCCCAGGACCAATCTGGAATTACAACTAAACTGTGGAGAAATCACCTGGAACAAACAACTGAACAATAGCAAGAGAGAAGCCTTATAACCTCAGACAGACAGAAGAATCAGCTTTAGCACAACCTAACTGCTAAGAAGTGCAGTGGAGACTCGAGAAGGTAGGCAGGGCACCTATGGACAGCAGCACCAGAAGTATATTGAAACAGCCAGTGGGATCTCCCTGAGAAGAACGGGGTCTAACCCATAAGCGGGGATCTCCAGCCTACAGCACCAGAGCCCAAAAAGTACACAGATAACAGCCAGCTGCAAAAAAGCGGCAGGGATGCTCTCTGACAGAGACAGGTGGCTGGAGATGGAAAGAGCTGTTTAAAGGGACAACGCATAAACTTTTATTTGTAGCCACGTACCCGGGGCTCTGGCAAAGTTTGGGGCAGAGTGGGCTAGGGATGCTGGAGGATAGACTGGGGAAGGAGGCTTTGGGGAGAGAACGGAGAGAGTAGCTGGCGGGATCCTGGTGCTGACTCCTCCCCCATACGGTAGCAGCCATCTTGCTCAGACAGACCACTCCCCTGAGCAGCAGCAGCATGAGAGACGCCAACAACCTGACCCCCAAGTGAGACTCCGCCCCACCCTGGGGTGTCTAAGCCTTACTGCTGAGTGCAGAGTGACTAGATTAATAACTGAAGGAGGCAGCCACAGACAGTAGATTCCCGGAAGTCTCGAACAGATTGCCTAAGGTCAGACAGGGACAACATCTGACATCATCAGAGGCAGATCCAGAGAGAAAAAACAGTGGTCTCCTACCATAGAAGTTCACACACAAAGTCAGGAAATCAAGACAGATCAATTTAAGAAGCAGAAGCAAAAAAGAAGAGTCTCACAAATAATGGGAACACAAAGAAACACCCCCCAGTCGACAGGAATGGAGAAATCCCCACAAAGAGAACTAAATGGAATAGAGGCAAGTAAACTACCAGATATTGAGTTCCAACCAACGGTTCTCAGGAAGCTCAATGAGCTGTGAGGTCAGAGAGAACAAAAAACTACAGGGAAACTACAAGGAACTTACTGCAAACTATATCAGCATGAAAAAGGACATGGAAACTATCAATAAGAGACAAGAGGAAATGAAGAATACAATTTCTGAATTGAAGAACACCGGGGAAGGAATCCAAAGCAGGCTATATGAAGCAGAGGAACAAATCAGCGAGCTGGAGGACAAGGTAGAAAAAAGCTCCCAGAAGGAGCAAGAAAATGAGAAAAGACTCAAAAACAATGAAGAGGCATTTAGGGAAATGCAGGACAACTTGAAACGTAATAATATCCGTATAATAGGTATACTAGAAGGAGAAGAGAAAGAGTAAGGGATAGAGAACCCCTTTGAAAAAGTAATGATGGAAATTTTCCCTAATTTGAGAAGAGAAAAAGTCACACAAGTCCATGAAGCACTGAGAGTCCCATTCAAGAGGAACCCAATGAGGTCCACTCCAAGACACGTCATCATCAAATGGCAAATATTAAAAACAAACAGAGAATCCTAAAGGCAGCAAGGGAGAAAGAGGTAGTAACATATAAGGGAGCTCCGGTACGGCCAGGAGCTGACTTTTCAACAGAAAAACTACAAGCCAGAAGGGAATGGCAGGAAATATTCCAAGTGATGAAAAGCAAAGGCCTGAAACCAAGATTGCTCTACCCCACAAGGCTCTCAATTAAAATGGAAGATGAAAGAAGGAGTTTCCCAGACAAAAGAAGGCTCAGAGAATACACCTCCACCAAATCAGCACTGCAAAATATGCTGAAGGAACTGCTTTAAGAAGATGAAGAGTATATGAATACCCAGTTTCTTTCACAGTCACCAATACCTGATATTATCAATATTTTTAATCCTTATTAATGATTGTAACAATGATGTTATTTTAATTGTTACTTATTATCTGTTGAAACCAAACCTGCTCTTGTATATTTCTTGCCTATTTCCATTATTTTTAAAAAACTATGACTTTTTGGTATTTATCCATTTTTTGATTAAATGTTTGAAGAATTTTTTCCTCTTAAAAAAAACCCCAAAACTATTAACCCCTTTTTAGATGTGCTGCAAATGCTTTTCAATTCTATTAGTTATCCTTTAACTTTTCTAAATGTATATCACTGAATCATCTTAAACGTTTAATATAGTCATATTGTCAATATTTTACTTTACAGCTTCTGAGTTTGAATATATTATTGCAGGATAGGAAAAATACTATTTTGTATTTTCTCCTAAAACTCCTTAGATTTTACATATTGATTTTAACTCACCTGAATATTTTTTGTATGTTTGAAATAGGGCTCTATATATTTTTTATTTCAAATAATAGTAATCCATGCACTTTATTTGTTGAATAAGCCTTATTTTCCCCATTGATTTGAAATATTAATTTAATCATATATCACTCTGTTAGATATATATATTTGTTTCTAGAATGCTCATTTTATTTCATTGATCTACTTGATTATTTCTGTGCTGGTGTCACGTTTTAATTGCTGAGACTTTATAATGGATTTAATTTTTTAAATATTTTATAATGGATCTTGACATTTAAAAAATAAATAAACAAAATCAATCTGCATTTAAAAGAAAGAGAGAAGGAAAGAATGAACTCCTACCTTTTGCAACAACATGGATGGAATTGGAGAATATTATGCTAAGTGAAAATAAGCCAGTCGGTGAAAGACAAATACCATATGATCTCACCTATAAGTGCAATGTATTCAACAAAATAAACTAATGAAAAAAATAAATCACAGGCATGGAAATATGGAGCCGACTGAAAGTGACCAGAGGGGATGGGGAAGGAGGACAATGGCAGAAAGGAGAAGGGACTAGACAAAGAACATGTATGAATGACCCATGGACATGGACAACAGAGTGGGAACTGACTGTGGCTTGTGGGAGTGGGAGTGGGATGGGTGGAAGAGGGCAAAGAGAGAAAAATTGAGACAACTGTAATAGAATAAACATGATTTAAAAATAAAAATTTTTAAAAAAGAATTATTTTAAAAACATAAAATGATAGCTCTACTTGGTGTGGCTCAGTGGACTGAGCACTGGCCTGCGAAGCAAAGGGCCACCACCTTGATTCCCAGAGTAGGACTCATGCCTGGGTTGCAGGCCATGTCCCCAGCAGGGGGCGCGCGAGATGCAATGCACATTGATGTCTCTCTCCCTCTCTTCCTACTTCCCTTCTCTCAAAAAAAGAAAAAGAAAAAATTTTTAAAAAACCAAAATGATAAATGCAAGTTTTGATGCTGAAACCTTTAAAAAAATATTAGCTATGAAAATTTTTTTATAATTCTATTTGTTGTGTAATTCATCAAACTTGACGAATAGAGCAGCTGTCTGGGAACCACGTTTCAGGTCAATCCAGTCCTTCTTTCAATATTTTCAGAGAATTGACAAGAGGGACTTGAGGAGAACAGCTCCTTTGTGGTTGGCACTAATTCACAAATCACAAAAGGGAAGGATAAAGCTGTGGAATGTTGGACGAATTCATGAAACTAGGTTCTGACTATTAAGATCACTGACGTCCTTACCAAATGGACACTGACAGAGTCTAATATTATTGACAAAATAGCAGTGGTTGTTCCAACACATTAGATAAACAGTAGAAAGGATGCAGGGCTCAGAACTTAAACTAGACACAATACATTTTAATGGAAAACTATCTGGATTTTTATTTTTATTTTTTTACTGTAATGACTTCTTTGATCAAAGTATGGTGACAGACTCAGTCATTTCTTGTCCCAGGTCACCTCCGTCTTGCCATCCCAGGATATGACAAGAGACCCATGACTGGCAGACAAGTCTGTGCCCTCTGAGTGAATAAACGTTGCAATTGGAAGCAAATTATTATAAATTTTACAAATCTTATAAACTGGAGATCTGTAATATAATTTAACAGTTTAACTGAAACAACTCGGCAAATGTTAAAACTAAACGTATTATAAAGCCACAAGCCCACAAATCACACCTTAATCCTCCACATTCCATCAGCTCATCACTCACCCACATCCAGGTTGCCCTTCCTGCTGCTCTGTATTTGTTTCTGTCTCTTCCCTGTCTCTCTGCACTGTTGTTCTTTCCTGTGTTTCCCCTTCCTCTCCTCTTCTTTTTTTCATGTCTTTATACCTGTTCCATGAAAACACTGGAAGCCTATTTCACCTTCACTTGCTCTTCCTCCTGGATATTTCCGATCGCTCCCAGCTCTATGCACGTCTGCCTCCCCCCACCCCATGCCTGTACCCCCTCTGCGGCCCCTGTTACAGTCTTTCCTGTCATCGCCCACAAACTGGCTGACTCTCAGTGCTGTCTGTCCCTCTGATCCGTCACCTCAAACTCCCTTTACATCGCCGGTCTCGCTCCCCAAACTGGTCTCCTCAGAACCAGTCCTTCCATCTGAAGCGTTTCGCGCTCCGCTGCCCCCCAAGTCCGCTCAGAGGCCCCTCTGCCTGTCAGCGCCCCCGGTCTCTCTGGGGCTCCTCCGTCTCCTCGGCATTTCTACGCTGTCTTCCTTCTCCGGCTCCTTTCCCCAGTTACCTTTCACTCCTACCTTGCAGTCCCGTCCCTCCCTTCTCCCCTGCGTGGCCCCTCACGGACCTTTTCTCCCCCTCACGTGTCAGTCTCCGTCATTCCGGCTCTGGGACCCATCACAGCCTGGTTCCGCCGTGTTTCCAGCCGGCCCCTCCCGCGTGGGACAGGCCACCTCTTCTGGGAACCCCGTGTCTTCCCCTCTTAAGTCCCACCCCAAGGAAAGTGCGCTCTTCCTGGGATTAGGGCCTCTTACTAAATGGCGAAGGGGTCCTCAGCGGGTTGGAGTGCAGATTATGAAGCCAGGGAGCAACCCGATCTCTATGGACCAAGGGCGGTGAGGCAGGCAGGAAGGTAGGTAAGGCAGGCGGGAGGCAGCGGGGCTCAAAAGGTTTAACGACAGGGCCCGAGTCCGGCTCCCAAAACTTTAAAGGGTCTGGGATGGAAGGACTGCACAGGGGAAAGGCTTTCAGCAGGAAAACCACGGGGCAGGCGTTGTCCGGCGGCCCTGAAGGCGGAGAGACCGCAAGCAGGACGGCCTGAGAGCTTCCCCGGAAACGAACGTGGAGCGTCCACACGGAGCGTCTCACAGGACGCCTGACTCACCACTGCGGGAGGTTCGGAACGGAAATTTCAACATCTATAGTGAACCTCAGCCTTCTCCTGCTAGGAATGTAGACTGAAGGAATCAGGTTTCAACCAGAAAAAACGGAAACCAAAAACAATCGCGCGACCTTGGCTACTCCACGGCCGTTTCAGAGTCTATAAAAAACTGCGCCTGCGCCTCACCTCAAAAGATGGGCGGGGCCAGAGCCTGTGATGGGCGCGGCCAGAGCCTGGGCTCAGCGTTTCCGCATTGCGGGGCAGGGGCGGGCTTGAAGAGGGGCAGGGGCGGGCCTATCCAGGGAAAGAGGAATGCCAGGGGTAAGTGGATCCCGTGGCGCCACTACGCACCGCTCTTGCTTATATACTTTCCTTGTTCATTGCGCTTGATTTACTCGATTATTGCTAAAATCTGTAATTTTTCTTTCCAAAATTAAAATTTTGGTGAGCTTCCCTCTAGACCCTCACCTTCCATAAGTCTATACCCAGTGGCGCTGGGAGAGAAGGGGGCGATCTTGGGGCGGAGTGTCCGCTGAATCCTCGCGGTGTCTGACCAGAGGCCAGGCAAGGACAGTGAAGATGAGGAAGGGAATGAGTGCTATTTTGTGGATTGCCCTGAGGCGAGGGTGTGAACTATGCGCTTTGCCTCCAGAGTTCCTTTTTCATGTTTAAAAATGGTGGTCTAGCCCTGGCTGGTGTGGTTCAGAGGATTGATTGCCAGCCTGTGAACCCAAAAGTTTCCGGTTCAATTCTCAGGCAGGGCACATGCCTGTATTATGGGCCGGGTCCCCAGCTGGGGGGAGTGCAAGAGGCAACTGATTAACGAATCTCTTGCACATAGACGTTTCTCTTGCTCCCTTCCCCTCTTTCTAAATATAAATAACAATTTTAAAATGCTGGTCTGTATTGTGCTACGTGAAATAAGTCAATCAGGAAAGACAAATATCAAATGATTTACTTAGGTTTGTGCCACCAGCAAATGTTTCGCAATATATTGTATTTTGCTGTATATAATGCGCACGTTTTGCTCAAATTTTTTAGGGAAAAATAAGGCTGCGCATTATACATAGGTAGTACCTGAAATATCTTAGATCTGTTTTCGCGTTTTGTAATTATTTGTTCCATAAAATTTCTTGTAACAAATTATGTTAAAAAATAAATGCTAAAATTCCTTTATAATACAAAAAACAAGTACCTAAATATAAGTAAATAATTGAATTTAAAAATTAAAACAGAAGATGTTTTTCCTGAAAGTGTTGGCCAAATATGTGCACATTACACATGGCAAAATATGGTAGTCTTTCCAATATGTCCTCCCTTCACCAACGACTCTGGTTGTGTGGCCCAGGCCTTAGGAACTTAAGTTGAGCAGTGTATATGGCCACTGGCCCTATAGGTAATGGTGGCACCAAGGAATGACAGACAGTGAGTGTGACTATGCTATTAACTCAGCTTTTACTGCAGGTTGAATCTCAATAACAATCAATCAATAACGATAACAACCAGAAACAATCAGTAACAATCTCCCACGAGAGAATCGAGGAATAACAAACCTGAGTGCCAAAGAGTCCGGATCAGGTCCGGTCCGGGAGGCAGCAGGGTGGCTGACTTCTTGCAAGGCGGGTTGGTTGCCGCGGAGCTATTCTGTGCTGGACATTTCAAGGTGACTCTCTCAGGACGAGCTGTCCGCAGTCTGAAGTTCCTCTGCTTATATATTCTTGTGTGATGTAATTTTGTGTCAGCTTCTGATTAACACATGTTGTTTCATGCAACCTCCAAAGGCACGTATGTTTTATGCCACTCTGCTGCGCATGCGCTGAGAGGGTGGTGGTATACTTTAAATAAGCACGTTTACCTCATTGTACTGCGCATGCTGGAGGGATTGCATCATCCCTCTGAATCCTTGCTGTACTGCGTTTGCTCTAAACACGATTTCCCTCCAGGCCATCGCAGTTAACACGGCTTGTGCCGTCTTAGTTGAGTCCTGCCCTCCGCAATATGGAATCTACAAAGTAGATAAACTAAATTGAAACAGATTCATAGGAAAATAGAACAGTAAGGGATGCTAGAGCAAAGGGGTTTGGGGCAGTGTTAAAAAGGTGGTAGGATTAGAAAGGACGAAATGGCAGTTACAAAATAGTTACAGGAATGTAAAGTACAGCATAGGAAATATAGTCAGTTATAGTATAATAACTGTCTGCCAGGTGCTAGAATCATCAGTGGGAGTATTTTGTAAAGTATATGATTGTCTAAACATTATGACTGTACACCTGAAACTAATACAGAATAATATTGAATGTAAACAGTAATTTAAAAAATTTTTTTTAGGCAGAGAGGGGAAAGGGAGAGAGAAAGAAAGTGGGAGAGAAACATCTTATACGCAAGCCAACTCAGGACCAAATCCTCAACTTAGGCAGATGCTGTGACAAGGAACCAAACTAGGTATCTTTCACTTTGCAGGAGAACGCCCAACTGAGACACACCAGCCAGGGCAACGAAAATTTTTTTAAAAAAAGGAAATATACCTGTGTGCTTTTCATGTGTGGAGGATGGTTGCTTCCTACCCAATTAAAGTTGCTATGTTTAACAGTCTTAAGGTAAATGTGTACAGTTACATGAGCCACTTCTGTTAGAAACTAAGTTGTTTTCCTATTAACTTTGAAAAGGATTAATTCAAAAGGTATTTTTGCCAGAGATTAAATGGACATCTGGCTGGCGAGGAAGGAGCAACTCTGCAGAAACTGGGATCTCTGAAGAACTGCAGGTGGCGACAGTGTTGGATCCAGAAATGTTTCTGCAATTAGAATTAGTATCAGCAGTTTTATTAAAGAGCTACTGCAATTATCTGTGTAAGGATTAAGAACTAGACTGTGAAATACACAGCTCTCCCTGGGTACAATAGACAATCAATCACATACTGACACTCGTTTTCTATACTCTGTTCACCAGGGAGGCCAGGACACAACAAGACTGAGTTCAGAGCCTTTCATGGGGACATGGCTAGGATATGAGATGGGACAACTACAAAACATGATCAATAGCCCTGTCTGGTGTGTCTCAGTGGATTGAGTGCAGGCTTGAAAACCAAAAGGTCACTGGTTCAATTCTCCCCATCAGGGCACGTACCTGGGTTGCTGGTGTTTCCCTCTTTCTCCCTCCCTTCCCCTCTCTCTAAAATAAATAAATAACATCTTTTTTAAAATATGGTCATTTAGGACAATATGCATTGCTTTAAAAAAGGAAATGTTTTAAAAATTGTTACTAATTAAAATAAATGTTGTTCTGTACCATAACTTGACATTAGTTTTAAATATGAGATAAATTTCTTCACATCATAATATGCTTCAATCAATCATATCCAAATATAATGCAATTTCAAATTCATGATATATTTTTTTGGACAGTAACTATGAAGCTTACATGTTATTTTAAAATTGTAATTATTTTTTTTTTTTTTTTCCTGTTTTTGAGTGTTCTTTCAGATGTGAATAACTAAGCCTGTAAAAAAAAAGCCTCAAAGATACATTCGGATATATTTTTTATGCAAGAATCATTCATTCTGCAATATTTAGGAGGGAGGTATAGTCTCTACAATATAAGCCCTAAAGAAAGTAAGCTAAGCTATCAAATATCCAGTAAGTTTATCTCCTTCTCTACACTCAATAAATTTTGCTGTTATATCTGCTAGTCAACATCTAATACGAAGTGTGTTTTCTTCTGGAAGATTTTATCTATCGAGAAATGGCGATACAGTGTGTGTGCGGCAGCAGCAGCACTTGGGAAGTGAGCTCAGTCCTGGGAGCCTGGAGAAAGGGACTGGGAAGGGTTGCTTCTTATTTCAATCTGTTTGAGTATAGCACTTAATTACTGAAAATAACAAAAGCTCACCAAAATATTAGGGTAAGAAATACTTTAAAAGTTTCCAAAATCATATCATTTTTGGAAGAGGAAGAGATGGACACCCTTTATTGGAAATAACCTTTTAGAATTGTCTGTGGCATGTACTGTATTTGGCTGTGTATAACGTGCTCCCATATATAATGCACATCCACTGTCTTGGCTCAAACTTTCAGGGGGGAAAAAAAACCACCTTTCAATTTTTAAATTCATTCATTCATTTATTTATTTATATTAGAAACAAAACCGAGTATCATTTTCCAGGGTGTTATTTTGCACGTGGATATTGTTATTGCTTTCTAGAGTTCACTTTTTATGCATAAGCATAAATAAAAGAATTAAAACCATTTATATACGTACGGAATAGTACTACCCATGTACATAATGCACATCCTTATTTTTTCTTCAAAAATCTGGGCAAAAGGGTGCACATTATATATGGCAACATAAGGTACATTTATGATCTGGTTGACCCAACATCTGCCAGGACCATCTTCAGAATTTCCACAGGGAAGAGAATAATAGATAGTAACTTGCATATTTCATGTTAAAAGTTATTAATGGTATAACTGATGCTATTGATAATCAGAAAACTAGTGCTGTTTGCTTTTATTGTTCACATAAAGAAATAAGCATCCTTGTCACATGTGTCTGCCTGAGGCAGTGGCAGGGGAAATGGGAACCCCATCCTGTGAAGGGGTATCTTCTCAGGCCTGCATTAGAGATGGGGAGTAGGCTCTGTACTATCAGCAAGGGTGGTCAGTACGGTTTGTTTAGGGGCACATCTGGATGTCCTCGCAGCTGTATACAAACCAGGATTAAAGGAAGTATAATCATAACAATATATTGATGTGCACCAATGCCCAAAAATCTATGGAAATAATACTGATGGAAAAAAATTCCTTACCTGATTTTATAAGTGCATTTGAAGTTAAAGAAAGAAAAAATCAGAGCATCTGACTAAAATATGTTAATAATTTATAATACAATAGAAAAGTCAGAGTCAAAACTAAGTGAGAGAGTTTTTTATTATATAACTTGGTTTAAAATGTATTTTGGAGGGATTAAGCCAAAAAAAAAAACCCAACAACCCAAAAACCCCTCATACACAGAAAACAATGGTGATTTTCAGAGTACCTGGAAATCAACAACTCTCATGTAGCTGAGATTTTATTCCTATGAATGTTCTGGGTCCCATAGTCTGTCTTGTAAGAAAAATAAAACCATAAACCACTGGTCCACGTAAGAAGTCCTAGACACAAAATATCAGTAGAT